GAAAGCAGACTCCCCAGTCTTTACTGTATTTAACCAACATTTTAGTTGGAAAATGCAGGGATTTGACTGATGTGTCACGAAATTACACAAACCCTGTTTCTGGTAATCTTTTCAGCATTTCACATTGGTTCAAGTTGCTGCATACATTGATTTCACAACCCGTGAATGATTGTTGACCAGCCACGCTGAACTGAAAATTTATCGGAACTCCTGCGCACGGTCATCATCATGGTTTACCTTAGAAGGAAAACGGATCCCACTTTGCATCCGTAGGGGGAAGGGCACTCAGGGAAGTCAGTATGTGTTATTTTTGTCCAACTCTGTGACTACTTATATCGTGTTGAGTAGCACTCAAGTAGCTCCAGTGAAGCCCTCTGTGCGGTCTGTCCTGGGTTTCCAACACCTTCTGTTTGAGGAAGCAGCGTTGTTGACACATCACCCTGGCTTCCACGTTGTATTAACGTTTAGGTTATTCCCAGTCTAAAGACGGTAGAATATTCTAGTTGTATAGTACCAACCTTATGCTTGACCCAGCGGTTGTCGGAAGGAGACACATGAACGACCTTGATGAACATGAGTAAATAACCAAGAGGACTCTATGGTTACTCAGTAGTGTTTGGGTTAGATAAGCAGAAGAATCTCCCTAACTGACTGACCGATAGGTTATCGATGGCGTATTCACCAACTATGCCTGTTGTTGTTGACCCGAAACGGCGAAAAATCATTAACACGTTCTCAACTCATTTTGAGCACTCTTCTCAGTTAGTTGTGGGAACCATGCGCACTTTTCTGATGTTCCAGTCTATCGACAAACAGATGTGTATACGAACAATTTGACATACTATTTGACAGCTTTTTGACGGGTGTCGAACCAACTTTTGACACTTGAGAAGGCTACACACCACTGCTTGAAGTACTGCACACATGAGCTTAGTTATATGCTCCATGGAATTTCATAAAAACCATTTTAATTCATGATGGTGATATGTGACCACAGTCGATCAAGTGTGAGGAGCTGCCTGGTTGAATTGTTACCATCGCACATTGTAGATCTAGCTGACTGCCGTGACAAACGTGACCATCCAAGCGTGAAGAAGAGTGAATAGCTGTCCAATGTGCACCGTCCCACCAGTGAGAAGAGGACGGGGGTGGGATGAGGAACACCTGGAGAGTTCCATGTTGATTCTGATGTCCAAGAGCCTGGGAATATTTTTACAGGAGTACTGGCCACTGGGCTATAGAGATACAGTCGACAGTCCTTGTGTAGTTCACACCCCTTGATTTGTTCGAATGCGATATTCGATCGGCTTTAATCAGTCCCATGGTGTCATCATACAAGTTGATCCCGGGCATATCGGCAAAACCAAAGTTTGATTTATTCCTACTTTGTTGATCACCTCACACTTATCGAGATCTCAAGTATCCTATGACCTACAGCCCATATTAGCTTGCATATAACTATTGTCAAACCCAGGCAAATCCTGGACTACTACATACCAGTCAGTTTTTTACTCAAACTTTATGTTCTATGAATGAACCTGATCGAAATGTACCGTAGATTTACGAGAAATTCACTCATTTGCAAATCAATTTGGTTTTCACGAGAAAATTAACACAATATATCAAAGCAGAGAGTCA